CTACAACACAAGCCTATACATTTTCTCACGTGAAATTTTACAAGCATAATAATATAAGCAAAAAGAGAAAAGAGAGGGAAAAAGAATTGATATGAATGAATATGAATTGATGGCCATTGTGTAGAGTAGCAAATCCCCGAAAAAGAATTGAAGTTCACCAATTGCAGCCCAATTCAACCAAATCCATGGAAACCACTAGCGCTGTAGGAGTTGGAAAGTTTGGGTAACTTTGAAATCGCAATAATTCCACCAGCTAAGGAAAATATCGTTGCTAGGAAAAAGGCAGGGATGTTTCCTCCTCCAAAAAGAGCATCCCAGGGGCCCGCACCGATAGAGACAATCATCTGCAAGAGAACTGCACGTATTAGGAATGTATAACACAAGGATCTTATTTATCTTTTTTTTTTATGGAAAATAGGACCAGTTGCCCTATCATTACTTGTATATAAAAGTGTAGAGTATAAAAGTTGAACAAAAGAAGATATCAAATGGTGATTTCAGCGGCTTCCCCCGAGATGGAGAAAATTGCCAAATCACTATTAGATGCATTGTTATCGAGACGCAAGGCGTAATGCGGGGCGCAAAGGCCCCTTACGCACAACCATGCGCAAGGCGCACAACGATGCGCGCGCCTCACTGAATTGAGACGCACAACTCAAACTAATATTTTCCAACATAAGACAGAAGCATATAAGTAACATGTTTATAAATTGTCACATAAAAATGTAGGCGTATAAAAATGCCTATGGGTTCCTACACACAGCTCGAGACGAAATGCAGACAATAAGTGTCATCATCCAAGTCAGGAAAGGATTATCTGGCCCCGTGAAAGCTAACGAATATACAAAGTGAGTTATTGGAGTGTACAAGTCACCGGAATGACGAAATACACAATACAAGTTCGGAGAAGTCAGAAAGTGTGGAACACCTCAAAGTGGACCGTAAAATGAAGAGGCATTTAGACCATGCTACGATTTGAATCTGAAAAAGTTCAAAACATAAAAGTTGTAGATCTATTCGTCAGCTTTCCAACGCATCTTGAATCAGCTTAATCGGAGGTCGTACGAAAGAGTTAAGGTCAAAATACCGAAGATGTCTCAAACCCGACCCGCGCTACAGTGTCCGACGCGCTACAGTCCGACCCGCTACAGTCCGACCCGCTACAGTGTCCGACCCGTGCTACAGTGTCCGACCCGCGGTACAGTGTCTGACCCGCGCAAAGAAATAAATTTTGACTATGCTGTGATTTGAATCTGGAAAATCTCAAAACATAAAAGTTGTAGATCTCTTCGTCATCTTTCCAACGCATCTTGACCGACCCGCGCGAGCGCGGGACGGAACAAACCGACCCGCGCAAGCGCGGGTCAGACCAGTCTGCCGCGCAGTTTGGTACCCGAAACGCGTTTTGACGGTTTTAAAGTGGTTTTTCGCAGGATTCATCTGTTCCAGGGGTTCTTAACTGACTTGAGATCATCCTCAAACGTGGTTAGGCTGCTGTTGACTAAAGATAGAGCCAAATCCCTTGTTCTTATCCAAATAACCGCATTTTGAGGCCTATAAATATGAGCCAAAGGCCTCCATTTTCTGGATCTGGAATTTTATCAAGAGGACGAGGTGCTGCTGGATTGGAGAGTGAAGGAGCACGAAATTTCAGCAAAGGACAGCGAGATCCCGGCGAACTTCGGAGCAAAGGAGAAGCCGTTCGAAGGATCCGAAGCCCGTACGTCCGTTCCTTGAGATTAGGCTTTGTCTTAATCTCGAGAAGAGCTACTGATTTTGCTTGATCGATTTTAACGATTCAAGCAAATACCCCCTTGGTGAGGTAGGAGCTCCGTCAATTTTCCGTCAACCGGATCTGATCCGTGATCGTCCATGGATAAACCCCGGCACCGGTGAAGAACCCACGCAAGCAAGAGATGATAAACGAATCTTGTGTTTATTTTCAAGAGAGTTGTAATTTTTATTTTCGTTATTTGAATTCATTTGTAAACGACTAAAGTTTTAATGAAATCAATGATGAAGGCGACTTTCAGCGAAAATAAACTGGCGCCACAGTGGGAGCCGACAGCATTTCTGCGAAGGCTGACGTGTCGCAACCTCGGATCCCGATCCCGGTTGAAACGGAGGTCGAATATGAGTTCGACCAGCAGAAGTATGAGGAATACTTGTCCTCCTCCTCCAGATCGGCCTCTCCTCGCAGGTGCAGGAAGGCCTATTCCAGGAAGACCCGTTGGACTTCAGCTGCAGAAGCCCAAGAAGAAGATCTTCCCGCCACCGCTGCACTTGTGGCTGACAACGCCCCGCCGGCATCCGACGAGGCCAAAACTACAGATCTGAACCCCTTGAGTAAGGGGTCGACTGTTGATGATGTGCCAACTCTATCAAAGAGAGCACGTCAAAGGCGACGTCAACGCCTCGCACGCCAACTGGCCAAAGCCTTGGAACCAGTTGATGGAATCCGCTATAAAGCGGATCTAAAGTCTAGGAGGTGCCAACCATCACAACAGAGAGTGGACAGCCCCTCCTCTTTCAAACCAGCGGAAGAACGAATGGGTTCGCGTCAAAAGGACCCGATCGACTCTTCAAGAGCGGATTCAGAAACGTCGCGCATTGCTTGCACAAGCAAAAATTCTTATGCAAGAAGCCAAGAAATTGAAGAAAGAAGGAGTGGAAAATAAGCCACAAAGACTGCACCAAGTATGGAGGCCAAAGTCTAAGACGGCGGCCAAAAAGATCGAAAAACGCGGGTGCACTCCAAATCCGATCTGGCCGCCAATTTGCAAGGTCATTCCCAATCCGACGGCCGCTCAAAAACACGGGTCAGCTCCAATCCTAACCCGCCAATATTTGTGAGGTCACTTCAATCCGACCCGCCAAAACGCAGGTCACTCCAATCCGACCCGCCAATTTGCAGGTCACTCCAATCCGATCCGCCAATTTGCAGGTCACTTGGATCCGACCTTCCAAATCGCAGGTCACTTGGATCCGATCCTTCACTTTGCGGGTCACTTAGATCCGACCCTCCACTTTGCAGGTCACTTGGATCCGACCTTCCAAATCGCAGGTCACTTGGATCTGACCCTCCACTTTGCGGGTCACTTGGATCCGACCCTTCACTTCGCGGATTACTTGGATCCGACCTTCCAAATCGCGGGTCACTTGAATCCGACCCTCCAACCCGTCGGTCACTTAAATCTGACCCGCGCCAGGGTCGAGACAGAAGACGTTCTGCACCGGTTACGTTGATCCCTTCGAGTTCCGCACCTCTGGTGGAGCCCCACGACAACATGGATTTGTCCCGATTCAAGGTGAGGATAGTTGATCGCCTGGGTCCTTTGCACGAGGATCGAGGTAAAGTTTTGATCGAAGGACACTTGGGTCCGATGATTGAACCCCGAACGTCTCGTCGAGATGGGGGTCGCACATGCCCTCACAACAATTTCAAGCCTTCGTATAAAAGGAAAACTCCAGTTTTTACCCGCCTGGGGGTGTGTATTAAAGTCCAAGAGCCCGTCAAAAGTTCACGCTTACAAATGCGTGACTCTAAACGCGTGACTCTTGAGAACGCCAACAAGGAGTTGCATACTCAGAAGAAAACGCGTAAGATAAACGAACGCATTATACCTGAGGATTCATGTAAACAGTCGATAGGTTACTCCGACGGCAACGTCGATGAGTTGTACTATCGGGCTGGGGGTATGAACAAGTCTCGGAAGAGAAGTACCAGGGAATTGGAGTCTCACTGCCCGTGCACTAAGATAATCAAGACAGTATTATCAGCATGTAGTTGCCCCAAGACCGCTCCACAGAGGGTCTCAGTATTTGAGAGGATCTCTAACGGAAAGGCTAAGTCCAAACCAAAGAGTCTCCGTAATCGCTTCTGATAATACGGTATCCAGTCCGGGACAATCTCGCGAAGTGTTCATGATCAACACCGAGCAGATCGCCAAAATTCTCGAGGATGCTCTAACCAAGCAGAAAGAGGCATTCAAGTTCGAAATGGAAACGGCTATGCGGCGGATGAGGGAAGAACATGACCAACAAATCCGAGCTTTGTCGAATCAAATTGGTGAATCCAGCCGTCGCAACACTGCTAACCAAGCAAATAGCGATTCAGATGTAGATGAACGTCTCAATCCTGATAACCCTCCCGTTGACCAAAACACTGGGGGTGACTCCACTAAAGATAACAACGCTGGGGGTGGTTCCACCGAAGATGACAATGTCGGGGGTGGCCGTGTTATTCCTCTTTCAAATCGTCCGAGGCCCGACACGAGTGAGGATGAGAAAATGAAAGATCTCGAGAGCAAAATCAACGCTCTAATGTCTGCTCGAGAGGTGAAAAGGACCGGCATTCCATGTCCCTATCCAAGAGAATGAGATTTGATCCCGTATCCGGCGAAGTTCAACCTGATTAACTTCACGCCGTTTGACGGGAATGGTTCACCCACTCAACATCTGATCTACTTTAAGTCCCACTTGGGTATGATCTCCAACAATGAAACCTTGATGGTTCGGCCATTCGTTGGCACCCTTCGCGGGCCGGCCTTCGATTGGTACCGCCGTCTCAAGCCCGGAAGTATTAACAACTGGGACGATATGGAGAACTCATTCCTTGGTAACTTCTTTGATGACGACGACGAGGTATCCATCAGGATACTTTTCGATGAGAAACAAGAAGATGACGAGACAGTCGACGACTTCGTCAAGCGCTTTCGGAATAAAGCAATGAACTGCCGAGATCCGATCACGGAGGACTTCATCCTCCAGACATGTCATAACAACCTATCTATTGAGATATTAGAAGTTATGGGAGTCACATCGTCCAACACTTGGAAAGAGTTGAAGACGCGCGGAGAGCGGACCGAACGCTTCCTCCGAAGGAAGAAAGCCGAGAGGAGCCAACCGACGGCGAATCTTCCGAACTCAAACTTCGCCTCCCGTGGGAAAGGAAAGGCACATGCAGCGGTTGTAGACGTTAGAAGACTTCGGGTTCAAGACCCCAAAAAGAGTACTCCTTCAAGGATGAAGATGTTCCAGCCATTTTCGAATCCCTCCTTGAAAACAACAAGATCAAGCTGCCACCTGTCGTAAATCAGGAGGAAGTTGACAACACTGCGGATCCGAAACACTGTACGTACCACAGGAGGATCTTTCATCCCACCAAGGATTGCTTTGCGTTCAAAAATAGCATCCAAACCTTGGTTGAAGCCGGCGTTATATCGCTCAATTGAGACGAATGAACACTCCGACAAGTATAAGAGTATAAACTGCTCCTTCCTACACTCCGACAAGTATAAGAGTATAAACTGCTCCTTCCTACACTCCGACAAGTATAAGAGTA